GTGACTCTTTGCTGGCCACTCTGGATTCTCCAGTATAGATTCGGTACAGTGCAGAGGGGATTTGTGGTGCGTAGCAACACTGCTTCACTGTGACACCCCTTCAATAATTGTTTTAATGCATGATACTCCGGGCGTAGCCGGTTGATTCTTACTGTATCCCGATCAAAATAGAAATATGCATCTAATGTACATGCATGAATAGTTGGCATTTCCCAAATCGGCCGGGCGAAAAATTCGCCGAAAACAGTGGTTTTGAAGAAATTACCCATCTTTTCGCCGAATGTTCAAAAATTCGCATGTTGAATTCCCCGAAAACCGATGTTTCAGTGCTTCAACAGAGTGTATGTAAATGTACATGACGTAATGGGAACGGTGACTTCAAGTACTACGTTGAGCCGAGTTCTGATCTTGGAGCTCAACGAGTGCATGGCACGTGAACTCACTTGTTTGCTGCACATCTACGAAGTGCGAATCAGGGAGTAGTATAATGACACGTGTACTAGTACACCTTGTGTTGCACTGCGTCTTTTCCACACGCAGGGCCACTGAAGGTCACACGCTCCGCGTGCGTATGCACGCATGCGCAATATGTCACTGCATGCAATGCACATCTACGATGTGCAAATCAGGGAATAGTACGTATTTTACTACTCCACGGTGCGAATGCACCGAACGTGCACAAGTGCACGTTCGCCACGGAAAAGAACCTTTATGGCACATTTATGGCATGGCAGGGGTCAAAGGTCAAACTCTGGGGGGTCCCGGGGCCAGACCCAGCACGACCAACACAGTGTGCCTTATTTGGCCCAAAGGTCAAAGGTCAAAAAGTGCACCAGAACCTGCCCCGCACTAACTACTATCATACATGTTTGAAGGCATATTTATGTTGGGACCCTCTGGGGTGCCGCTGGATCTGCCGCTGCAGTTACGAGGTGGTCTGATCCATTTACATACTTGTACAAGTACGTACTTCGAAGTACATTCGAGGAGAGATATACGTGACGGTGTCCAGGAAACGTAGTCACGTCTCCCGGGTGGTCTATGAAAGTATAATGTAGTAAAGTGGCGGGAATCCGAGGTTCCCGTGGAAAGACTCTTGAATTCCTTTGTCGAGACCCAGCTGGCCCATTTCTGCTCACATGCATACCCTCAGTTTCTGACACCAAAACAGGGTCAGCTGACCAACGCAGCGGTCACACTGGTCTATTTCAGGCCAAATTAGTGAAGTCCCCGCAACCCACGGCGCCCCATATCCACCGCTACTTAACATCACAGATTCTCGGAAGAAATTAAATGGAAACATGGAAAACGACGGGGCACAAGTTATGCATAATAATATTGTGTTTCTGTATCGCCACCATTTTGTGCCTTTGGTGTTCCCCAGCTGCACCGTCAGGCCCTGGAAGTAGTAACCTCTCAATGTACATGTACATAAGCCTGAGCCTGAGAATCATTCTGGATTCGCAGCTGGAACTCTGAAGCCTCACTGCCGGGTCAGCTTTGCCAGATACCACTACATGTATGATGTACTACAACTACTTACAAGTAGTACTAAGGAGGCCATGCATAGACTGACTAGGCGCCATGAACGATTTGATGCATGATGGTGGTGAGAAGCCTATCTCTGGGCCAGAGTGTAACTGTTACTTTGCAGTTCAGAGAGCGTGTGTGGACAGCTATTTCCCAGGTCTGTCTTTACCACCACAATGAGTCAATTATAAGTATAGTTTCATCAGTGTGTTTGTTCAGCACTCCTGACGGCCTGGAGATGCCGAAAAACACTGCAGGTCTGCACATCGACGGCGCTTTAACCCTTCCTTTTCAGGGGCATTGCCCACAATCGGGTTTTCAACGTTGTGGTTAGAATTCGGGTGAAGGCCCGACTACACATGTATAACACTTGGAGTCATGTTGGTACCAGCTGCCTCGTTTTCAAGAGTGAATTCCGACAAGAAACCAAAGCACCCCAATTGGCTTTTTTGATTATTCTTGTATGGTTGTTACTTGTAATTACTGTGCATTTACACGAATCATTGAATAACACTTTCACAATGCTGCGGGCACCAGCTGCCTCATAGACAACAATTCGGTGAAATGCTCAGCAGCCAGCAGGCCGCCCGGTCCTGGGGTTGTCAAGATCCGGGACATGGAGCCCAACCAGGGAGTTGTATTATACAACTCCCTGAGCCAAACATAAAATAAATACAGTGCGTATCGGTTATAGTGTGGTCGTATACAAGAATATACTGCTTACAAGAATGAACACTCATTTTTCACAATCATAACACATATTTTATGTGTATATTTATTCTTACAAGCAGTATTATTGCATAGTCGAATATATCGGCCCTAAGAATGGATTTTGTGTAGCAAAATATGCCAGATTAGTGCAAAGTGTATCGCCTGCAGTAATAGCATCTGTGCTCTGTGCATACTCAATACAATAATATTCAACACAAAAAGAGAGTTGTGTCCAAGGGAGCATTGGAGAATCACTTTTTCTGTCCAGTCGGACTCTTTCTTCCGACTTCTCTCATATCCGCTGCTCCGCAGTCGCCTAGCACGACCGCGAGTCTGATTGATCCGTGTGTATCATGTGTACGTGTCCACATGCCAAACGTGCGCGCATATGATATGTCACACGTGCATATGATATGTCACACGTGATTTATCGTGTGTAAGAAATATCGGCAATAAGAATCAAATGTCGTTTTTCAAACACCCACGCTATAACCGATACCTACTGTACGACTCTGAGTATTGCGGGATGGGACCTCCTTTGGATGGCAGTTGCCTGGCTTTCAAGCTCCCGCAAGCAGCATGCTTGATTGCGATGATTTTACGACATTTACACCCCAGCTCCCATCTTAATGGCGTGATAGGTGCACCTGAGAAACCCTAGCATTCACAAATTGTGCCGCGAGTATCACCACCCCATCTTTCAGACTTTCACCGTGACTGTGCTAGGACTGTCTCCACTACTTGTGATCATGTGACATGCGATGTTTTTTTTCTCATGACACATTTTAGACAAGCCATCCTGTCCACTGTTAAAGGGGAAGTATACCCTAAAATCAAATTTTCACCAGTTGTAGTCTTCGGGGTGCTGAGTCGAATGGTCTTGGTCCGAGGAAGCTGAGGCGCTTCCTTCCTACTTGAATCCCAATCGAACCCGCGCACTTCCACCGAAACTGGGTGACTGCGCCCTACTAGATGGGGATTTGTATGCAAAATCTCACTAAAAGCGCCGTTTCGTTCTTATAAAAGCACGGATGACCGCGATTGGCCCATATGTTGTAGTCTTTTGGACGCTGAGTCGACTGGTTTTGGTCCGAAAAGGCTGCGATGCAGCGTTCCTCCTTTATTCCCAATCGAACATGGTTGAACAAGCGGTCACGTGCTCCTGCGTACACCAGTCACCTGGTCACCGTGCCTGCAGGGTACAACTTACTAGCCTGTTTGACCTTTTTTGGGTGCAGTCCTGTCACTCGAGTTGAACTCGAGTTGAACCTTGGTGTGAAAGTTGTCGCCTGCTGGCGTGGTGACCAGGTGATTTGGGCACCCAGGAGCACGTGACCGCTTCTTCAACCATGTTCGATTGGGAATAAAGGAGGAACGCTGCATCGCAGCCTTTTCGGACCAAAACCAGTCGACTCAGCGTCCAAAAGACTACAACATATGGGCCAATCGCGGTCATCCGTGCTTTTATAAGAACGAAACGGCGCTTTTAGTGAGATTTTGCATACAAATCCCCATCTAGTAGGGCGCAGTCACCCAGTTTCGGTGGAAGTGCGCGGGTTCGATTGGGATTCAAGTAGGAAGGAAGCGTCGCAGCTTCCTCGGACCAAGACCATTCGACTCAGCACCCAGAAGACTACAACTGGTGAAAATTTGATTTTAGGGTATACTTCCCCTTTAACGGGGAATGCCAAACCACGGAGCTGATCTACAGTATGTAGCATCATAATGTAGCCGGCCCCGGGGCCCCACCAAGGATGCGGCCTCTGCTGCACAGCTCGTCTCTCTTTCGCATCTCCAGTAAACAGTCTCGTTTCTTCCTCTCAGCTCGTCTTGCACGTAGGCATATCCCGGTGATCCATGACGGTTTGGGTTTGCCTTGCAAAGTTAGGCCAGTGAAATCGGGATAAGCGTCCATGATTTTAGTCACCAAGATAAAGGACTCGAAGTTTCGCAGCCAAAGCTGTACAGTTTTTCAGTGAAACTCGGCGATAGGGTCGGCGGTGAAAATATGTATCTAATATTGACTGAGTACGAGGTCAATATAGGAAATAAAAGCCGAGTAAAAGACCGAGGCGAAGCCGAGGTCTTTTACGAGGTTTTTATTTCCTATACTGACCAAGTACGAAGTCAATATTAGATTTATCACGACAAACAGTCCGTATTTCAAATTCCAAAACGATACCCTCATGAATCCCGGTTTTATGATTGCACAACCGTTGCACCACCACCTACTCATGCAGTGACAATGCTGCACTAGGCACCGTTCAACTGCGCAACCCCTAAGCACTCAAATATAAGCAGTCAATATAGCCCTAAGGAGTGAAATATGCAGGAATATTTGACTGCTTATGTATGGCAAACATCTATGTGAGTCAATACTTAGGGAGTGATAAAACTAATTACTTCGTCAAAGTGTACTCGCGCCGAATGGGTAATATGGCGGAAAAATCAAGCTGTGAAACAGCACAGTCCCGATATGTCATTCGATGACTACCTCGAAATGTCTCGCGACGAAATGTCAGGCGCCCAACTGACCGGATACCACACATCCACAGTCGACCCCGGATATCCGGATCGGATTCAGGGTTGCCCGGGCCCCGCGGCCCCGCGCCCTGGGCGCGGCATGCATGATCGGATCGGAACCAGGGAGTCGTAAAATACCCGTATTTTACGACTCCCTGATCGGAACCAAAAACAAACACCGGAAAAAATCACGATGTTCATTTTCGGTGATTATTTTTTCGATGACGGCTTGTGGATGAACTTTCAGCTTTGATCTGCTTGCTGAAACAGTGAAAGCGAAAAGAAGAAGTCAAAGGAAGTTAGTTCAGTTCACGTACGAAGGTGTTTCAGTTACTGATCTGGTAGATTACTAGTATAGAGTGTAAATTATTGTGTATAGGAGTGAGTGACGAGACACGAAAGGCACCATGGACGAGCAAAAAGCAAGAGCAGATATCGAAACGATGAACCAGAAAGCAGACTATCTCACCGATCAGTCTGTGGATGCGACTCGGAGAATGAGAGCTATGGTGGAGGAGTCAGGAATGGTTGGTACCCAGACCTTGGTGACGCTTCATGATCAGGGAGAACAACTAGACAAAATAGAAGGCAATTTGGAGAATATGGATGCCGACTTGAAAGCTGCGGAAAAGGACCTGAATCAAATGGAGAAATGCTGTGGTCTATGCTTGTGTCGATGCTGTTGTAATCGTGGCAACGATTTCGGAAGAACTCAGGGTGACCTGCACAAGATGGCGTACGGCAAAGACAACAACAACAAGAGCAGTGTGGTGACGGCGCAGCCAACTGGCAGTGCACGGGGCGCAGGGGGCGCTGGTGGTCCGATGGTTCAACGAGTTTTGAATGATGCAAGAGAGGACGAAATGGACAAGAACCTTGGCGATGTGAGTAGCATGTTGGGAAACCTGAAAAACATGGCACTAGACATGGGTAATGAGCTGGAACGTCAGAACGACCAGCTAGATCGTATCAATACCAAGGCAGATTCTAATGATGTTCGCCTTTCAATGGCCAATGAACAGGCTACAAGAATACGGGGAAAATAGAGCTAGTGCGCTGCCTGTACCTGTTTGTTTGCGGTACCCGTTGCTATCTTGCTGACAATCCACTCAACCTACAACAGTCATATTCATAAAATTTCCATGAAATTCACAAGATTTATAATAGGAATTGTGAGTGACACAAGCATTTCCCTTATTCCCCCTCGTATTTTATTTATTGAAACGCCGGGCTAAGGCCGGGCACCTAGCCTTTGCCCGGAATGTAGTAGCTAAGCTAGACGTGCCCTGCTACATGTAGCTGGCCCGCATGGCACGGCATAACACAGTCATGTTCTACAAATTTCCATCTGCAAAACGTAGAAGCACTTTCTGTCAGTGTAACGGCAGTGCTCTCCAAGTCGTGATCGCTGTTTTGTATGCATCATGTTATTTCGGATGCAAATTTTGTCTATATTGGCCAACATATTTTGCTTCAGTAATGTCTGTGCAACCCCCTGTTGTGCAAATTTTCACTGGGACTGCTGCTGATGTTGCTGTTGGTGGTGGTGGTGGTGTTTGTGCATGGATATGGGGGATGTGAATAGCGTTAGCATGTGCAGTGTGTATGCTCTGTGTAAGAGTCCCAGAACTGCAGTAGAGTACAGCGTACTGCAGGAATATGCTGTGTTACGCTAGGAACATCTGTTGGAGGGGGTTGAGGGATCCAGGTTCAACAGACAAGTGTAACAGCGTACTCTTTGGCTAGGTACTCTACTCTCGCTACTGGCTATAAACTATGCTGTGCAGCTAATTCATCGTACATGTAGCAAATCACTGTAGTTGAGTTGAATTACTGCCCTGCAGGATGGCGCACTACGATCTACCAGATTGGGATGGTTCTGTGCCCTACCTGCAGTTGGGAGGTGAAGAACATTTGAAGTCGTTATGTGCAAAACGATATGTACCGTAAAGTACCGTTGATCCGCCCCCTCTCTAATTCCCGCCCCCTGTTGACTTTCCACCTGTGAAGCGATTTCGCCGTATACAACGAAATACGATGTTGAACCGACGCTTGCACTGCTGTACACAAAACGTGCCAATCCAGGATGAAAATGTGCACAATTCAGCACATCGAGTCTGATCCTCCACGTTGTTGTACATCGTACTGCACTTGACAGCCTTGATCTAATTCCTGCCCCCTGCCGAAAACCCAGCTGGGAAGCGACATGGGGGGGGGGGGGGGGGGGGGGATCAACGGTACTTTACGGTACATGTAGTCATTTGCCAGTTTTGACGGACAGAATCCGTTTGCGTTTCATTTCGCTAACCAGCAAAACACCGGAGTACGTTAACTTTAATTGACGTTAAAATATCTGGTCTTATAGGTTACAGTACGACTCGTAGTCCATACTTACGAGTACTGGGACATATGCATCAATTTCCCGTCATTAGGTTTTGCGGGGCAAGTCCACTACAACCGTATACACACATTGATACCAACTCTGCATATAAAACGCCCATTAAAAGGTCATGAACTTTGTGAGGTCATACTCATAAATGTACTATAGTGGGTTGTACCTGCCAAGTATGGGGTAATTTGCCCTACAAAACGTGACGGCCATCTTAGATGCATACCTCCCATTACCTGTCCCTGCGGGAATTTGCGGAAAAAACTCTCGAAAACTTGCGCAAGAAATTGCGGCAGAAAACAACAAAAATGTGAAGAAAAGTGCGGAATGATGCAGAACTTGCCAGGAATTCGCGGAATTATTTGCAGAAAATTGCGGATTTGGGCCAAATCTCGAAATTTGTTGCATCGTTTATCTACTCCGGAGTAGTACGAGTCATCCTGTGCAAGTAACCTACAGGATCATGGAAAGCACTGTGTGAAAAGTGCATGAAACATGTGAGATATAGTGCAGAAAACAACCAAAAATGCGGGAAATCGCGGGTTTGGGCCAAAATCGCGAAATTTGTTGCATCCGTGGAATCGCGATTTCCTGGAGGGACAGCATTACCTGTACCGTATTTCCGTAAACTTCAAGAGCAAAGACAGGGGTGAGATTTATAATTGAGCATGACTTCCTACTTACGGAATGTATTGAAACAATTTGGCCCGACCTGAAAATGGGGGTGCGACCTAAAATCGAGCGCGTGATAGTCGGAGAAATACGGGGTGCGTTCTTAAATCCTCTCGGAAAAGTTGGAGACTTTGGAAAAGTTCGAGAGCTGTTCTTATATAATCCTCTCCAAATTTTAGGAGGCTCTCCAATCTTCAGAGGTGGTTGAAACTTGGAGATTCCCGCGGTTTGGGATCAGCGCATGCGAAGTACAGCTAAAGGCATGTGATGGTGTTGATCACGATTGTACGCATTTCCCTTTTTGCATACGCACAATGCGTACAACATTCGTGGCACTCAAGCTCGCTGCCCCTTTGGCTCTTCATATTGCTTCACATGTGCAAAATATCTTCGAATTCTTCGAGACCTGTTCTTGAATTACACCAGCTTCTTCGACTTCTCTTTTCTTCTTCTTCTCCGAGAAGCTAGAGAATATAAGAACGCACCCAGGGTATGTACGTGATGCCACGACTACACAATCATCTTCTTCATGTTCTTCTTCCTGTAGTACATGACAATAAGAACGACATAGGCTACGCCATTGAACCCCCACCCTCCATGTTCATCTTTTGACTAGAACTCTGCCTATTCACGCACAGAACTCCTTCAACTTCAACAAAGCCAGAGGAAACTTCTGGAAATACCACATACATCACATGCATGGCCTCGTTCAAAACTGGTAGACTGATCGCCAGGTTTGAAATAGCAAGATACATTCATCTTCTTGTGTAGTAGAAGTACATCATGTATTTTAGTAGATGGTAGATTGGTAGATAATGCATAGAGGTCTAATATCTTCATTACCGGGGGTGATAGATTTGATAGACCGTAAGGATATGAGAATCAATATAAGATATAATAGGAGAATCGTACACTGGATTGCGTGGAGGGTTATAATCTATATCTGAACAGTCCCACTCTTCAACACAGCGAGGCGGCATGCATTCTCTATCAGTAAGGTTTCAAGGTATACAGTTGAAAGTAGTGCCAGGTGAGCACTATCGGTAGAAACTCAGTTTTTTCAGCTGAAAACCAGCTGGGACGAGACACGGGCGGGTTCGCTGAGCATGTCGATACGCGTTGCTTAAGTTCGGAAGACAAACTATCAATCTGAGACTATCTTCTGGTGACAACGACCTGACAGAGCATCCTGGATACGCCATACAGGACAGTATAGCAAGGGGGAATGGCCGTTGGAAACACCATCCGCTTACAGACTCAACTACAGGAATTGGAATCGATCCGATGAAATATCCCAATACCGTTTTCGTACATTGACTGTGACTATGTGGATTTGCGTGAAAACAGACGGAATCGTTTGCGATCCTTATCCTTGAGTTTTCTATTCACTTCTGCGCCAAATGCGAGAAGCTCTCTTCTTTCTTCATCCGTTCGTTTCTTCTGTTGTCTGCAACGAAACAGAGAAAGATACAGTCACGTGTTATGCTTGTTGTGTTGAATGCAGTTGGCAAGAGAGCACTTGTGGCGGGGAGTTTTGAAGTCCTATGGAATATTCAATAGTTTTTCTTCTTTTTTCCCTCGATCACCACTCCACAACTGTGCTCTCCAGCCGACCAGACCTCGACACGTCACCACAGCACACCATCAGCAAAGCGACTAGCTAGTTTGAAGCATTACTGAGTAAAACATGAGCTGGCATGATGGTGGAAAAGAATCCATCGGGTTGCTACTCAGAATATATGCAACTGTTTTATGCACAGTGCTGGCCATTGATATACGACCACTCTTTCTTGACCTGCGCAGCGCATCGCATGATGGATGCGTCAACTAAGCTGGTGTGCTCGGCTGCAGAGCTACATGGCCCAGAGGCATCGGAGCAGCAGAGATGGAATTCCACTGATCAGCACCCTACTCTCTATAGTGCATCAGTGTGCTTTGACATCACTGGCCGTGCAATGGAACTGCTTCCAATCTTACTGTGTTAGGTTCCCAGCTTCCTCTTGGAGTTTCTCTCTTCTTAGGACACTATCATCACGCAGCTCCAGTTGCCGAACTAGCTCATCCGATGAAACTAGAACACATGGTTGTAACAAGGACAGACATGTGTTGTATAGTCAGTCACAGTGTAAGGAACTTGCAGTACATCTGAGGCCCATCACATACCCAAAACTAAATGCAGGGTTCTAGCGAGGTGAAACTGAGTAGTGGGGGGGGGGGGGGGGGGGCAATTACTTTTTACTACCCAGTGACCGATTTTTTCCATTCCAAAATTGTCTTGCCGCCCAACGTGCCCCGACTTCACCCCAGACGAGTGTGCCTTTATCCAGCTGGGAAAATTGGTCCGGCCATGGCCGGACCAGCCAGACCGGTTCCGGCGGCCCTGGTTTGTAAAACAACATGGAAGGTCCTCATTACTAACTTTATGTCAGGTAGTACCAACTGTGCAGTATACTGAAGGCCTATTACAGCACTAGAGTCCTCCGAGTGGCTAAACCGTGCAATGCAGCAATGCCGGCAAGTGAAATTCAACTTTTCGTTTGGAGGTAACTGCTCCGGAGCTACATAGCTCCAGCTCTACGAACACTGGACTGTATGGTCATGAACACAGCTCAGCTCTAATCATGAAGCCATGCCAAGGGTACCACTTTGCCTTGTCAATACTGAAGTTGCCTAGCGAAGCCAGGGCAAGAGTTATGCAGTCAATTTCATAAACTAGAAAAACAGGGTGAGAGTCTTGCCGATTTTTGAATGTATGGCGCAGCGCCTCGTATAGTTGCCTCAGATCGCATCCACCAAAAATGATTTTTGGTATGAACATTACTCAGCCCGAAGACAGAACCGTGCTCGCAATCGCCCACATATCACTTACTTGTGACCAGAAGCTTGAATTCGTTCAGAATGCACCGCAGCTGGATGTCACTTAGTTTCTCCAAATTTGCTTGCGTGAGTCGCCTCTGTGCCCACTTACTGCTCAGTACAACACTCTCATATTGCCGTTCCAATGGCAGAGATCCTGTGGATGATATCGATCTAACACCGGCAGCTTCACCTCGCACTTCACTTTCACCTCCAGGGGGTTGCATTGCGGTACTTCCTGTAGCCTGCAAGATATGACATGAACAACAAGACACGTCAGAAAGCAGTGAAATGATCCGTAGAAACACAATCAAGGAGTTTTCTGACTTTCAGCATGTTCAAATTGTGTATCGATATTAGTCTCGCAGTTTCGCTCGGTGAAATCTGACCAAAAAGTGCATAACTGGCGCCCTGAGCTTACATAGCCATTTGACTCCCTGAAAGGGGTATTCATGCGACTGGACGTACTGTTCAAATACAAGGCACGACGGCTGTGTATACAACGGCATGGGCAAACTGGCCTGATTTTTCACCCTCCCTGGACATGCACTGAGGGTTTAAAAGGTAACTTGCTTTTGGTCCAGGTTGATCGATCAGCACACAGTGGGCTTAAAATGCAAATGCAGACACCATGCAATGTTGTGACCAGTGCTATCACAGCAACACTATAGTTACATATCCCGTCAAACAAAGTACTAGTTAGCCACTAGTGTAGTCAGTACCAAAAGCTAAGGCCCGATCCACCTTGACCACCATCGTGTCTCTAGTGCCAGTGCATAACAGCATTGGGTAACAGCTCATATCACACATTTTCGTGCAAACACACGCCTGCCGGCCCAGTCTAATTACCTTTGATTCACAAGCGTCGTCTACAGACCTTGCTGGAGCACTGGTCTCGTGTACTGGAGTAGGCTGGCCACTGCTGCAGCCATCCGGTGACTTGCGGCTGGAAAGTGACCCAGCGCTCTCCGTCGAGCCTGAGCGACCATACTCGTCAGGATTGTGATGATGACGCAATTCACCGGAATCGTAGCAAATGTGATACAAATTGCCGGCTGACTGCCAATGAGCCTGGGAAGAATCCAAGTTTGCGTCTGCTGGGGAAGCAATTGCAGCAGTAGCCGTGTGCGCCATGCTCCTAAATGAAGCATTATGAATGTCTCCAATGCTCATACTCTTCTGGCTGAATGAACGAGGATGGTAATGAAGAGCAGAGTGTTGCCTTCCTTCAGTTTGTTTCGCTGCTGATGCCAAAGTGCCACGCTCATCATCCTCTATGTCCTCATCGTCACTGGCTTCATCATTCTGATCATCATCATCATTATAGTCATTGGGAGTGTTCTCTGTATCTCCCTCCTCATCGTCATCATGACAGTCATCATCGTATTCATCACTGCTGGCTTCGTCGTCAGAAATTTCCGGAATGCGTGCCGTGATCTTTTCCTCCATTTCAGTCATGGCCTGGAGCTGTGCCTCTAACTGAGCAATGGCCAGTGAATCCACATCCCTGACCGGTGTCAGATCCCAGTCGTCCTGAGCGTACTCTTCGTGGATTCGTGCCACAGTTGCCGCTGCACTGCCAGGCGCTGGTGGCTCGTCAGCGTGGGCGTGCTGCGCAGTCGAACTGAACGCCGAGACCGTTGTTACGGGGATGATGGACGTGAACGGGTTGAGACGAATGCCTTCAAGGTCACTGTAATCATCCATGTAGTCATAGCTGTGTTGTCTACGCCACCATCGTTGAATGCTATAGCACAGCACAGTACAGGAGTCAGTGCTTGGGAATCAAATTCAAATGTATTGAATATTAAATTTAATGGTATATTGTTCATGGCAGTGGAAGGGGAATGTCGATCATTGAACTTACCGGGTGGCAGCATCGTTTCTCCGTCGCTGTGTGTTAGCATTCACAGTCTTGGCATCTCCTACCTCTGTTTCCATTCTTCTCCTGAACACATGTGCGCAAGCAAAGGCAGAAAGTGAGATAAAAGGGATGAATCTGGTGTCTCTCACCTGAACTTACACTCTACCGTAAAAGCCCATAATTAAGTACAAACTTATTTTCAAATTCAGTGATTGTACCCATATTAATTTCCTTTGAAAAGAATTCGGGTGGACACACCCATTCCCATAGCGCTGCACATCACATCCGAACCAGTTCCATTATTTTTACAGCGTTTCCGCTAGGGGTGAAACGGTTCGGGTAAGGAACCGGTTTTGGAACCGCCAGCTGAAAAGAATCGGGTACCCGTTCCGTCAAATTTCGAACCGAAACTCGAAAAATCTCGTTCTTGTACAAATACATGTACACGTCAAGTCTACTCAAGATTTTAATGTCTTACCTTACGATCCCCACTCTTCCAAAGAGTCCTCTGGTCATTATCTTCTTCGCACTTGGACTCTCCGATCCGATGTCTCATTCTTGCTCGTAAAACTGTTTTTTCTAAAAAATAATAATTATTGTCGCGAACGCATTTTGTCGGTCTGGACAAAAGAGTCCATGGAACCGATACCCGAACCGTGGGAAACAATGCTGGCATTCGGGTACCCGAACATGAAAAACATGGAACCGTTTCACCCCTAGTTTCCGCACTTGGCCATCGTCAGGTAATAACAATGAATACCTTGAAAGCCACACAAGAGCAGTATATACGCAGAGTGTAGCGCCAAAAAAGATGCGAATTATGTCACCTAGTATGCAGAAGAGGGGGGGGGGGACAGAGAGAGAGAGAGAAAAGGCGCAACTAGCACATCACGGAGGAGAAGCAGCAGAAGGTAGCGCGCATTGTGCTCTGTGAATGGCGTTACGCAGAGTGTAGCGCCAAAAAATAAAATGATGCGAGTTATGTCACCTCTATACAGAGGGGGGAGATAAGGTGCAACTGTGCACATCACGGAGAAGAAGAGCGCGCCGTTGCGCTCTACGAAGTGGGGGTACATGCCAAATAATTATGGTGTTAATTCTAGCACATCACAGGAGGGGAGCACGGAGCCCCATGCGTCAATACACTATGAGGTTAAACTTCCATGCCAAACTGTTACCACCAGGGACGCGACGAGGCATCAGGAACAGAATGGATTTGAGTGACCCGCCTCATATTATAATTATTCAGTGATATTGAAGTAGCAGCAGGGGAAGCTGCTAGAAAATTCACAACAAATCCCATCTGTTGCTTATGTTCACATGGAGCTTAGCATCACGAATCTCAATCGCCTCGCGCAGTTTGCGACGGGCTCGATCAGGCTCTCTTCCTATTACTCCAACTGCAGAGAATGCACTTTGCCCATAATTAAGCTTGCATCCAGGGTGAGTGGTACGAAAATGTTGGCTCCATGGCTTGTCGAGTTCCTGTCGTCTTGCCTCACCATTATGTTCTTCCAGGCGAGTTTCCAGAAAGCGGCCAGTCTCACCAACATATTGTTCCGGACATTCTTTGCACTTCAGCTGATATAAAACATTCTTCTGCATACATACATCCTGTCCCCCGGATACACACGAGATACACGGCCCCTTTGGGCGACCTCTCTTTTTCGGTTGTAGCGGATTTGCAGCCTTGACACATAGAGGAGGAACGAGGGCGGAGCAAGACAATTTTTTTTGGCGCTACACTCTGCGTAACGCCATTCACAGAGCACAATGCGCGCTACCTTCTGCTGTTTCTCCTCCGTGATGTGCTAGTTGCGCCTTTTCTCTCTCTCTCTTTGCCCCCCCCCCTCTTCTGCATACTAGGTGACATAATTCGCATCTTTTTTGGCGCTACACTCTGCGTATATACTGCTCTTGTGTGGCTTTCACGGTATTCATTGTTATTACCTGACGATGGCCAAGTGCCGAAACGTAAAAATAACGGAACTGGTTCAGATGTGATGTGCAGCGCTATGGGAATGGGTGTGTCCACCCGAATTCTTGTCACAGATGAGCTGCAGGAAGCCTCAGCCCTTCTTTAAATTAATTTCCTTGTTTCTTTTAAAAGCATAATTATACTTGGGTCATACAGTCAACTTCGCTAATAACGACTGCGGATATAACGACAATTCGGGAACAACGACAGAATATCCATGCCCAGAGTAAAAGTCCCATCCAAACGTAGTACATACAATGAGACTTCGGGTATAACGACACTTCGCAGATAAGGACACTTTTCTGATGCCCCGCCGTGTGTCGTTATACGCGAAGTTGACTGTAGTTCTTTGTAGAAGGAATGCCCCAGGGATGCCACCAACTGGGCACTTCAGCTAAGCTACGTACCCTGAAAAGATGCGGGTTCCGTCGTCGACTCTGTGAACGGCATACATGAGCCTGCACATGTGTACTGTCCGGTGCCACTACCAGAACACTCTTCCCCATCTACAACCCCCCCCCCCCCCCCCCGCAGCTATTTTTCAACTCAAACCTGTCCACACCAGTAGAGGTCAGTTTCTATCGGAACTCAGACCAGTACAGTGCTGTAACACATGTTCCAAGCAAAACGGGATCTGCGTGTGCCCAGTTCAGTATGTAATTGCCAGACTGAGAAAAGCCGGCACGCTTTGGTTAACTTAACCCACCCACAGTGAACCCTACTCTTACAAATACAGCACTCAAGTGAATCTGAATTCAATGCGCTTGAATACATTTGCCCTGCCAGATTGAATCTCGTATTTTCCAGTGAAGAACACACAACAAATTCAATTGCTGCAGCTTGGATACAGCGTCAAAATAGAAGCAAAAAGAAATGGGGCAAACCACGCCACTCACAGGGTTAAAAGCACTTCTCCCTCTTCCACTTGTCGTCGCTGCTTCTCCTCTCTCTCCTTTTCTTCCTGGCCAAGCAAGAAAACAAGACCAATAGAGCAATGGGTATGGCCCACAGGCAACGAGGTGAGCGGCTCTGTAACGTAATTTACAGCAGCTAGACAATCTTTATCAAGGATAAAACACGGTGATAGCCGATGTACGGGCACTGTGCCAACCTGTTGTCCTACCAGCTCTCTTACCTCCATGAATCTCACGTAGAGGCGGGCAGCAAACTCCTTTCTTGCCAGCTTTGCTCTTGCGTACTTTTGGCAGGTGATAGCTGCCCTCTCTCTGTCTGAGACCTGTTACAGATCAAAGATAAAGAAAGGAGGTTGGTCTAACAACACATAGGGGCAAGTTTACCTGAGCATGTTTGCTTGCTGGATGTTGTGTTACTGTTGTGTAAGTAACACCACCGTATTCGGTGATGAACGACATTGGACGTGCTACTCAATTATCTACACCTCAGCTGGCCGTGAGCAATGGGGTGCGTCTGCCAAGCAGATGCCCGCTAACGTCATTAGATGAATGGTGGATAGGTGATATGGGGCTATCATGGGGAGCCAGGCAGAATGTACAAAGGAAATGGATTGTTTCCAGCACTGAGTTCCCATAGCTACGAAGCACCGCTGGTTCATATCTTAAACCTCATTATGCGTTGTGTGTGGCCCTAGTTTTGAAAACCTTAGTGAGCATGAGAAGATCTCAGGGCAACAAGGCAACACCAGATCAGTGAAAAGCAATCATGCCGCAGACAAACATTTGAGCTGCGGGCATAGCTCGTTCCTTTGACAGCGCACGTGTGTTCGTATTTGTGTATGCGTGTGTGTGTGTGTTTCTCTGTGTGTGTGTGTTTGTGTACGTGAGTGTGTGTTTATGTGTGTGTGTGTTTGTTTGTGTGTGTGTGTGTGTTTGTGTGCGCGTGTGTGTGTTTGTGTTCATGTGTGTGTGTGCACATGTGCGTGTGTGTGTGTGTGTGTGTGTGTTTGTGTGCGTGCGTGCATGCGTGCGTGTGTGTGTGTGTGTGTGTGTGTGTGTGTGTGTGCTTGTGTGTGGTGTGCATGCATGCACGCATAATAGTCAGTGCAGCCGGCATCTGCATGCATGCTGGTCTAGACTATCACAGTAGGTAACTGGTACATTGCTATGGAAGAGCAGATTCCAGTGAAGTCCGCACAATAAATGACTGAATTTGTGTTTTAAATGCTGAGTTAGGTTTGCTGAGGAAACAGCCCACACCACTATACAGTAGAGCATCGATTATCTCGGCATCGGCTATCCACACCTGTACAATCATGTGGTCTGCTGATCTAGCAATCCCGTGTGTGCTGCTCACACGTGCTGTCGTCAATGGACAGTAAAACTAGCATGATCATGTACGCATTTTTTCAATGATTCGTGACATATTATCACACGTGCGTCAGCGTTCTAGCCAGGTCAATATAGCAGGGGGCGGGCATGGGAAAAAGTTACCCCATGACCCATTTTTCCATTGTCCAAAATTGTCTTGCCATGCAAAATGTAACATACGGGGCGAACCCCCGACTTCACCCCTCACAAATGTGCCTTTATGAACCCTCTAGTAGTGACTATCGACTGTATTTTCGTTGAATGGCGTGAAAAAAACACAAAAATCGGAAAATGAGTAGGGGGGGGGGGGCGGCACTATTTCACAGGGGGGCGCGCAAACGGAGTAGGGGGCGCTGCGCCCCCCTACCCCCTTTGGCTAGAACCCTGATGCGTGTATGAGTGATATACTGGAAGCATATCTGTGACTCTCTCACTATCGGAATATTCCTTATCTGAACGTCTTCTGAATGGCGTCTGCCCAAAAGGGTTAGGATAATCGATTCTCTACTTTTATTGCGGTCATGCTTTGTCTTAGTACGCTGCCATGGGACTGAGCTAATGAATGCAACGGGAAATATTGCACGCCGACTGCCTGCACACACATGATCTTATCACAGCTATGGCTGATAAAATTATGTGTAGACTTGACCCACCTGTTTATCGGGTAATACGGCCGACGCTGCAGCATGGTTGATGGACTGTGAGAACAAGGCAATATGCAACACACACACACACACACACACACACACACACACACACACACACACACACACACGCACACACGCACACACGCACACACGCACACACATATTATGTGCAGGCACTCATACACACACACTGACAGTGCATTCACTCTGTAAGCCACTGCATGAAGCCACACATGCATAAACACCTGCAGTGCAATCATGGCCACACTAGTTACAAGGGGTTTACAGCACAACAGGAAGGTAAGCATCTAGCAGATGTCCACAGTCTGCCCCGTTCTCAAAGTTTAGTATGTGTCAAACACACGGTGATGCAGTAGTAGTATGGATAGACTGTTACCATCCAAACTCTCTGCTGCTCAATGATATCCATGTGTGTTAGGATCAATTCGCCGTCGTGGAGATTGCCACCCATACTGCTATGAACAATGAGCTGGACACTTGCAAAGTAGTGCCGCCAGTGTCTGAAATCTGGTCTTCACTGTATGAACCTGTAAATCAGCCAGACAATGCCATTCCTGATAGCCAGCTGCACACGGCAAGTATCCTGAATCATTGCGTTACTCTCTGTAAAGACCTGTGTTGCATGATGTGGGATTCTCCACAAACAGCTGCGCATTTAGCAGCTGGATCAATTCCTAGCTCAGATGCGGCTGGAAACAGTACTTTACATCTAGTCAAGACTTAGCAGCAATGTTGCTCACGGTGTCTCCAGATGCACACTAACTACTCGTATCGAGCGCCCTATCGAGCCACAATGTCCGAGATGACGGGCATGCAGTGGATTCAATGAGATGAGAAATGTGAATTTGATCCTGTCGCCATGGCGTACAAAACCAGCGAATCTTCTTTCATTCATACTGTACGATGTAGCAATCACATGAGGGCACTGGCTGAGCTCTGGGCCATACGAGCATCCCTCAGGCTGTTACTGTTTAGTCTGTCTGTGTACTGCATTATTTTACTGTCATTGGGCTTTGTTCTTTTTATTGGGTGCAGCGGTCGCCCGATGAACTCACTCACCTCCAGCAGAGAACGTGTGCGGTTCATTCTCTCCTCTTCCATCTTCCTCTCGAGTTCAACACCAGCTACAACATCGTTCCAGGGTGCACGGGACGTGCCCGGTGACCTAGATACTCTCTGGCTCTTCCGTGAGCGCCGAAAGCTGGTCTTGCTGCTACTGCTGTTGCTGCTGGGTTTGTCCATTGTGCTCCCAACACTGAAATGGAGCGACACGTCTATTAGAATTATACGGTAGATGTATTTAGCTACGTGGTACTACAGCTGTCTACATAGAATTCGCTACGGATAAACATCACTCACTGAAATTGCCGAGTGAACAGACGAGCCGAGAGCGCTGACACGGAGAAACAACACTCGCTATCACCGTCCACAGATGAAACACCCGTTTTGGCAAAATAGTTGACGACACGGGATTTCTATTGCTGATTGCACAAAATGAGTACCGACTGTAGCTGCGCCGAAGAAAAAATATTGCGAAAGCGCAGCAAGTCGCTACGGATAGAGGAGCGCTTGCTTGACGTGGCGTAAAAACTGAGCTATCATTGTGCTAATCTTGACAGGGTTCTTGTTGTGTGGGGGCGGCAAAAGTTCCCTGCCAACTCCGCCATTCAGCCATCAGTGTCATTTATCTGAAGTCGAGTGAAGATGTAGGTTTTGCTCCACACATGGTCCACTTTGCGGTGGCCAGTCACGACACAAGTGCACTGGCTGCTCTGTCACCATGGTCACACAATAATCTGCATGCAGCATTAGTTGCAGGCAAGTACAGCCAGCCAGTGCATCTGTCTGTACTGGTACTCAGTCGAGTCACTCAAGAGTCAAGTACGCGCCGGGCCTTGCGCAGCCTAGCCCCTACTACTACTAGTACTAGTCTGCTACATCGACCTACATGTACAAGGCTACATAGCCACATCATCACACACTCTACTGCTGCAAATACTATATCAAACGTTAGTACAATCATGTACTGCTTTGGTTTTTTTAAACTTTTTTTGACAATGCAACACAATATTGTGGAAAGGTCACAAAAATAATAGGCTAATAATAAGAGACAAGATCAAAATTAAAAGGAAAGCTTGCTGACTGTATAATTATAGTATCTAGTTACAGTGGTGGAGAGTTACTCTTAACTCGTTTCCATAATATGTCCTTTTCCTTTCTACTTTTATTATTGGCTCAATACCTGAGTTTCAAATCGCACACCTGATGAGCCGTCACGACTAATACGGCGAAACGTACATGTACGTCGTGTGAAACAACTTTACAATAATAATGATAATAATAATGTAAAGAACTCTTCCTCTCCTCTCCTCCATGCGCTCTCACAGCCGACTCACTGCTACCCTCAGTAGCCATTACACACACCAACCAAGGAAGGGTTGCAGGTAGATACTGAAATTCCTCCTGACAGCTGTTTCCCCTTCATAAGGCTCATCAGAGAAGGTGATATTGAATAGGATGATAACAGGTGGAGATGGTCAGATTTATACTACAAAACATGGGCGCAAGATTACGGGCAAAGTGTGAGAATGAGAAGTTACAATTCTCCAGCAACACAGTGCCAGGGGTTCCAAGAAAATGGCAGGGGAGTAATCCAATCACAAGCTGCTAACCTCTCCAGCAACACAGTGCCAGGGGTTCCAAGAAAATGGCAGGTGAGAAATCAAGCTGCTAACATTAATTTTCTAACGGCTAGGTGATTAGACGAGAGAGGGATCTGACTCACAGAGATAATAACGAATAATCTTTACTTCAGGATGAGACACTAGTAAAGCAACTGGACTACACGAGAGGAATAACTGAAAGCTGTAACTGACTGAAACAACGAAAAGAACACAACTCGGTGTAGTCTCCAGTCCAAACAACAAGACCCCGACTCAACTAATTATGCACAGAAACTACAAGCCGCGAAGTCCGTTTCACGCGCGCGCGGGAAACGGCACATGAGACATGCATAACAACACAACACGATGCACTACTACTACTACATGCATCATGAATAGCATGAATAGCACAAAAGAACAGCCAGGAATAATTATGATTAGACTGGTCCACACAGGAACAATAAATGTATCACCTCTACGCGTGCACACAGCATAACTGACACCAAAGAAGGGCACGTTGATTCGGGCATGCATTGGAATTACCATGAACGTAACCCAAAGGCTAGCGGCAGTGATTTGCCATAACACCATACATAGACTACTGAAAGAGGTTCACCGTCTACTCAGTGATAGTTTAAGAATTTTGGCGAGCCACCAAACAAAGTGAAAGAAAGTAGAGTACTAAGCTTATAAGCGTGCAGTGCAGCAAAAGTTCCAAAGAGTGCACACACGCATGAATGGACTGTACATGTAGTTACATGTAACATGTAGATCTACTTTTCACTTGGGCAGTTCTCCAGCCAACCGCGCAGCCATGCAGAGACGCACCACGTCGACTGTCCCCGCAGAGTCCCCCTCCGGCGTTCTCCCGAGCAACAGATCTCCGCTGGCCGTCACACCTTGCTGCGCACCGTACGCAGCCGGACCGACCGCTACCTCGCGCTGTCCCCATTTGCGCCTCCGTTGGCAGCGTTGCTCGCTGCCGTTGAACGAAAAATTAATGTTAGTAGCTTGTGATTGGATTTCTCACCTGTCATTTTCTTGGAACCCCTGGCACTGTGTTGCTGGAGAGGTTAGCAACTTGTGATTGGATTACTCCCCTGCCATTTTCTTGGAACCCCTGGCACTGTGTTGCTGGAGAATTGTAACTTCTCATTCTCACACTTTGCCCGTAATCTTGCGCCCATGTTTTGTAGTATAAATCTGACCATCTCCACCTGTTATCATCCTATTCGATATCACCTTCTCTGATGAGCCTTATGAAGGCGAAACAGCTGTCAGGAGGAATTTCAGTATCTACCTGCAACCCTTCCTTGGTTGGTGCGTGTAATGGCTACTGAGGGTAGCAGTGAGTCGGCTGTGAGAGCGCATGGAGGAGAGGAGAGGAAGATTACATTTTATTGGCCGAATAGTACCGTTCACCATTTGAAATAATAATAATAATAATAGGGTTACAGTGAGGGCTGCGTCCCACCCGCCTGTGTGGATTCACAGGAAGTGTGAGTTACGAAGTCTGAAGAAAGTGTTGAACGGCCTCTGGTGGGATGACGACTACACCATAGCTCAGTGGTTAGAGCATCGCTGGCTACAAGCGTGGGTCCCTGGTTCGAGTCCTGGTGGTGACAGTCAATTTTTTCTTCAGACTTTTCCCGTTTGTCTATTTCCCTCAAACCAGTTAATAATAATAATAATGCAATTAAAGAGTATAATAGATGCAGACATGGCCAGACAACAACGAGTTCATGGAATTTTTTAAGGATTTTTTATGTTATTCAAAACAGATTTTCGTGTTCCGCTCATCAGTGAATAGTATCGGAACTGAGGGTACTGTGTACAAAAAAGAACATTTTATAACAGCATAATTAAAAGTGTGAACAAAAAGGAAGTGCTACAGCATTACATAATAGGTGTCAAACATAGTGCTAGCATATATCTGAGTGCAGCCACAAAGCATGAGGTGATACAGTGCAACATGACACAACATTTACATTTGATAACCAGCTACGAGAACAACTTTAGCGCGATTACATGCTTCTTTTGTTTACAAAGAACAGGATTATGCACACGAATACATACAGCTTCCAGAACCTTCACGACTACCTCAGATTCAGTACACTACTGGCCGAGAATGACAGCAAGCAGCAAGTCAAACTCCTCGCCAAGTACGAGAAAAACATCAAATGGCTGCGTGCAAAGCGGTATGGCTCCTTTAAGCCCAACATGGACACGATTATTAATCTGGCCAACATCAAACAATCCCCTGTGCAAAAGGAATTACTGTGCCGGGGAACGGAGTTTGGTCTTCCTCCTTCTAACAACAGAAAGGAAATAGTTCTTACGCAATTCGAAATGTTCCACAAAAAACTCATGAAGAATTTTACATCAGGTTCTGAAAATCAGCGTGCTATCTGTACGGCTAATCTTCGAGCCATCGCCGAAGAACACGCCGAAAAACCTCCAGACCGAAGAACATTTTCATTATTCAGAGAACACCTTAAGGCTCGACGTCATCTTACGAACAACAACGATATTAGAATCACAAGACCAGACAAGGGTCGAGCTACAGTTATTATCAGCACACAAGAGTACAATAGGAAAATGGCGGTTATCCTTGAGGACACGAGTAAGTTTGTCCAACTCGGTCCGGTATCTACTCATGACAACACAGTTCGAGTAGAGAAAAAGTTGAATAGTTTTCTCAAGAGACTTAGAAAGTAAACAGATATCGGAGCAAGAGTTCTTCAAAATGCGGCCCATTGGTTCCGTCCGGCCACGTCTCTATGGGCTACCAAAAATACATAAACCGAACTGTCCTTTGCGCCCCATATTATCCATGGTTGCATCACCGCAATATAATATCTCTAAATGGCTGTGTGGTTGGCTTGACATCGTGCAAACGTTCTATTGCAAACATACAGTTAAAGACACCTTCGAATTCATTGACGTCCTTCGCTCCCACCCGGTTCCGGCCTCCGCGCATATATGCTCGTTTTATGTTGTGAGTCTGTTCACGAACGTCCCGTTAGAATATACTATCAATATTTGCCTAGATGTGTTGTACCGAAATGATGAAGTTGACACGCCATGGATATCGGAGACGGCGTTCCGTGAACTGATGTTGCTCGTGACGACTGGTGTGGAGTTTTCCTTCGGTGACATAATGTACAGGCAGGTTGATGGGGTAGCCATGGGCTCTCCATTAGGTCCAGTATTTGCGAATGTGTTCGTTGGTTACTGCGAGTCACTGATTGCAGAACAGTTGTGGCCAGCATTGTACGTTCATTTTGTTGATGATTCCTTCACCTGGTTTGATTCTCTTGAAGATAGCCAAATCTTTCTTGGTATTCTAAATGACCTACATCCTTCCATACGTTTTACGTGTGAACACGAACAAGCGAACAAACTTCCCTTTCTAGACGTCCTTGTGGAAAAGTCTAGTCAGGGTACCGTAACATCTGTGTACAGAAAGCCTACATTCACCGGCCAGTACATAATGTTTGACTCGTATTGTGCGTACCAATACAAGGTGAATTTGGTGCGTAACTTGGTGGATCGAGCAAAGCGTATTTGCTCCTCTTCTAAACTAGCTGAGGAACTGGACTTCCTAAAATCCGTTTTTCTAAAGAACGGGTACCCCGCCGATCTATTGAAGGAACTCATGAGCGAAAGGCTGCATAAAAAGGAGATACGTTTTGGCCCGGACAAATGTCCCACATATCTTTCCCTCCCTTGGAAAGGTAACCTCTCATTATCTATGAGTCGCGTGGTACGGAAAATTGTACAGCAAACTTACTACGCGGTACATTTTGTACCTGTTTTTACAACTGTACGTGCGTTCACGGTGAGGAAGGATGTCCTACCAACCCAACTTGCATCAAAATTGGTATAC